CGTCGCTCTGGGGGAGTTGTACTTGCGGACTGCATGCTATGATATTACTGCAAGTTCCAATGCCCCCAAAAGCCAAAGGCGTAACCAACTCCAATCTAAGCCTCTAGCTGCATCGAAGATTCATAATGCTCGAAGATCCCAAACGATGTCGGGCGTTCCATGGACTCCCAAATGCAGAGGGGCCGGTCGTAAGAAAGATCTTGTTCGCCCTTCAGCCTCCCGCAGGACGTGAAGCTTTGAGAACAGCCCTGCATGTAATTCGACCAAGATCCATGCATCTTTTGATGTCGGGGGGTACCTCCTTCTTGATGCATAGACGTTGCGAGAGCCAGAGGCGTGAAACCTCACGACCTTTTGCAGGCAACCTGCGCACAGCGCTGTGTTCGATCGGGTGGATTCGCATGGGTTCTCTAACTGAGCAGCTAGGGTACATGCACCTGGCGAAGCCGACTCGAATGTAACGTAGCACCGGCTCCCTTTCAATGACAATTCGATTCGGCTGATGCGTGCGTACATCGCACGGCCGATGGTGTTTGAAGTCTCCATTTTTCGGTGAGCAGAGCCTCCGAGAGACTAGCGAGCAGAGTTTTTACAGTTTCTGTCAAGTCTAGGAGAGTTTAAGGTGAGGTTTAGGAACTGCCATGCGGGTATTCGGACCTTTGAGACTGTGTTGGTGCAAGTTCACAAGCCATCCGTTCTCCCGGAGGTGGGAGGGGGTTTTACAGTTTACAGGTTCCGACAACACCTCCAACACTTGCTTTCGAGTGTAGTTCCCGACGGAGTAGGGCGCGTCTTTAGCGTTGGATGCTTCCCCAAACTCCGAGCCATTGAGACATCTCCCTTCCATCAAGGCTTCCTTGATTCCCTTCGGCACGTTGAGACAACGGCGCCTTTGCAAAGATGCGCGCGCGAAACCTCGCGCGCGCATGGGTTGGAAGAGCTCCCTCGAAGAGGGACGCCTTTGAACAAATTGATCCACTACACTCAGTTCTCCAATACCCAGGTTATAAATCACTTTTGGAGATTAACATGACTTGGTATTGTTCTGAAAATGTTCAGACCTTTGCATTCGATGGGTACGGGGGAAGTAAGTACACCTCTTGTGGCGGCGTTTTCATTCCGGGATTCAACCCGCTGGACAAAAATGAAAGGCCTCACAATGGAGGTACAGTAGTCTTGATCAGTCGAATTAAGGTGACCACCGTGTACAGTGCTGGAAAGGCAGATGCCTAATTCCAGAGACCTCAACATTCCATACAAACTCTTGTCGTCGTCTTTGATGACCAGTGACCATGCAACATCTGCGTGAGCGGGGGGAGGGTTGGGACGGTGCACTTCGTCTTGAATTTCAGTCGCACTTACGCAACTTGCTATATTGTAGTAGCGGTTGTTTCTTGCTATTGATGGTTATAGCATCGAAGTGTGTGTTAATATGCACTACTACTGCACAGAAGTGGGCTCTCGGGGTTTGGAAGTTGGGGTGCCCGGGCTTCGGGCTGAAAGACTCGAGAAGTGGAGAAGGCGGACCCGAAACAATGCTGTGAGCCTAAGATAACCCTCAACCCTACCTTGAACTACGGTTGATGATGTAAATCCTGCATTACCCATTATAAGGAACAAGCCAGAATTCCCATAGTTTCGGGTCCTAAAGGTAATGCAGGATTTATATCATCAACCCTATCTGAACCCTGCAGTTACTTTGGAGGTTCCTGACAGAGTGTATATTAGGGTGCATCAGAGGAGCCGACGAAAAAAGGTCATGGTAGGTTAAGCTAAACCCTACGCCCTGAGATTTAGAGCGCTAAGGCAGAATTCTGGATCCTTTAGCTTGGACTTGGGAGTTAAGAGGTTTAGTTTAGGGTTCTAGTACTTCTAGAAAGGTTCAGGGTTTAGGTTTCTAGCGGGGACTTGCAGAATTAGAACCAGACTGTGAGGGGTCTGTGATACAACAGTTCAACAGGGACTGTAATGAAATATTCTTGCCAGTTGTTTAGAAAAGGCACCAAGAAGCCACAGAACCATCTTCTGCACTGCAGCAATGCGCCTAACACCCCCAAACCTAAAGTTAAGCCTTGCGCATAAGTCCCTGCACCCTGTTTCGAAGTTTCAGAAAAAGCCACCGCTAACGTGGGATCCGAAATGAAGGATCTGGCACACAAGGACCCCGCCCAAGAGAATGAAATACCGCCCCTACCACCACGGGCTCGGGGAGGCCGCCAACTTTTGCATTGGCGCGGCTTGTCGGAGCCTAAGACAAGGGGAGCTTGCTTTCAGGGTTTACTTAGGGGTTGGGGTTTAGGGGTGAGTTTGATTTGTTGCTTCCGTGGGCACTTGACAATCCTTTCGTTCATGGTGTCCATATCCGGTCGTATTGGGATCGTATAGGGACTTTACTATATGGGTAGTTGTCAAAATAGGGGTCCCTTTGTGGGTACCCTAAATATCAGGTGCCGTACCATATTAGGGGCCCAAAAAAGGGACCATAGTTTTGACAACCACCCATATCACTGCAGTTTGCCATGGCAAAAGAGGTTTGGCGTTCACCATGTAAGGTGAGCTTTTGAGCCTGCTGGTGGCGATAATCATAACGATACAACAGACAGAATCAACAATAGCAATAATCATAATAAGCACAACAACCACAACTACATAACGACAATATGTGTAATTCGTCATGCTGGTGATGGTTCTGCTGAGGAGCAGATGTCGGAGGATGAAGGCAGAGGAAGGAGGAGGACTTCCCATTGACGACGGCAGGTGTGACTTTTCCTTGTTGCTGATAGCTACGGTAATGACGATGATGATGATGAGGGTCATCATCATGATGATGCCTGTGTTGCTACATTTGCAATGGATGTAATCTGCGTTACCGTTGGAGCTGTTGCTGGCTGCTGTTGATCTTGGCGTTGGGGCGGCTGGATTTGCTACGGGTGTTTCTACTTGTGTGCTGTGGTTGTGGTGTAGTTGTAATTTAGCGGTCTGCACAGTTTCCGAGTCAGGCCATCCCCTGGTCACTAACTATATACTCTGTTCGAACTGTTAAGGCCCGTCTATCCGTCGCTGCAGAGATATTATAGTAAGAGACGGGATCCGAAAAGAAGTACAAGTCTCTTGTCTTAAGTAGTTAATTTGTGCTTTTGCATACTTTTCTATAAGAGTCTAAGAGCAAAATGCCATGGGACTATTGATTAATGGTTTTGTGTATCTTGCTTATCGTGAAAGCTCGGAACAAGGGTCTCGAAAGGGATCGATGAGTAAACCTGAACAAGATGAACGTGGCCTCAGGGCTTGATTCATTCTGTGGACAAAGGGTTTGGGGCACGAAAAGGTCTGAGGAGATGGGTCATAGACCACTTTTTAGGAGATGCTTGAACTCTGGAGGGCTGAAGTCAATGAGTCATACCAATCCCAGAGATGTTCTTGCCCAGATTTTGCACAACGCTGCTGGTTAAGGCTGTGGATATCCAGGGGCCTACTGAAGCACAAACATCCTGATCGAAAATCTTTCAGACTCCTTGTATCGAGAATTGCTACCAAGGGTTAGATTAACGTCTGAACAGTTGTACTTCAATATCCGGAAACCAGATCCGAAAACCCTGAGCCCTAAACCCTGCTGCATAGTAATAGTTTGCCGAGCCCCGAATGCCTACTGATTGATCACTACAGCCCCGATGTTACAACGCTTAACAATCCTCGACGTATTCAGGCCCCCACCCAAAAAACTTCACCTCAGAGCACCAACTTTCTACAAAACTTTTATCGCTGATGCGCTTGAAACCTTGGAACCTTATGGAGCCCTTTAGAAAGCCCATTACACAAAACTGCCCCAAATCCCGATGCCAACTCGACTCGCGAGGGAGCCTCCGGCTTGCGAGGTGCAGGCCTTTTCCCGGAAGTTGCGGTTTACTATAGGGGCCTAAGTAATTGCCAATGCTATGTTGGGGGCTCCTTATCGCAATTGTAGTATAATGGGGCCACATGGGGCCAAAACCCTACTCTAATTGTTAAGGCTCCTATATTATAGCGTTTACCTGGACCCTAAACAACCTGGCTCTTAGAGGAAGTATTCCATAGAAATCATCATAAGAAAGCCCAACAAACAAAAAGACGTAGCTTATATGGGGTTACGATAAGCCCCTTTAAACCCCATTTACACGCCAAACCCCTAAACCCCTTACTAAACCCCAAACCTCAATGTGAGAGTCTCTCGATGTCGGACTCGGGGGCTTCAAATGGGAGCCATTAGGGTTTATAGGGCTTGGGACGAAATGGTGTGCGGATCTTCGCTGGTTGAAAACTGCGGGTTTAGGAGTTGGGTTTGGCTACTGGGATTTGGTTTTCAGCCCTACCTGTAGAACAGAAGCCCATTTTTGCAGCAATGCATAAGGGAACTGAACAAGGAGGTTTTCTCTGGCGAGTTAGGGCTTGCGTGAGGCAGTGAACCGGCTTGGAAACTGATCCAAGTTTCAGCAGATGAGGGGTCCCCGACGAGGATGCACGCTATGAGGGCCCCAGAACCCGGAACAAGAAGCCCATTGTAGGAGTTGCCCTTGTGAGACCCGGCTTCACCGGCGGGTTCCAAGGAAGAGTTCAGGGCTGAGGGCTTGACGCTTTAGAGGGCTTCAGTCGGGGTTTTGTAGGGCTTTTACACAGTGTGACAGTAGACCTTTGTGATTCAGCTGGAGTGGGGGGGGGAGCATCTGAGGTTTGGGGTTGTGGAGATTGACCATCGCACGTTTAAGGCGAGACGACCGAAAATGCACCTGGTGGACCGTTGTTCGATGGGTGCAGAGACTAAAAACCAAGAAGCTGCGCCTCGTTGTCCGTCTTATACACGGCACTTCACTCCCAAATCTTTGAGACATATACCACAGAACCCTCAAGAAGCTCTGATCCCCCGATCTGTGCCCAGAAGTTTTCTACACCCATGACCCCAAACCCCGAAGCCCGAACCCGAAACCCCAAAACGTTGCAGCGTGCTGGAGGCTCACGGCCACGAGATGTCGCCGCCGCTCAGAAAGAGGGAGATGCCTTCAGCTTCCTACCATGGCGGCAGAAACTCTGCCGAAAGTTTGGGCTTTCGGATTCAGGGCTTAGGGTGTTGGGAGGGGGTGGGGCTTTCTAGTCTGTAAACCTACCGGAGCCGCAGCTACATTGATTACTTGTCTATATCCTTGCACAACGGCATCCTGATACGGAGCCCTAAAACGGTAGGCCTGGTAGGCATAATACTACAGTTCAAGGCAAAAGTTTGTAAGGTAGACCATGATGGGCCCTTAATCGTCTATCCTAGGCACCACAAATCGAACGCAAGTCCCTCAGCCTGGCAGTACCGTACGCACTCTATACCGGATGGAAGATAATCTAAGATAGATTTGAAAAGTAAGCTTTAGGATTTCGGAGAGTGCTAAACCCGAATCCAGAAACCCGAGGCTGAGGCGAGGGTGCTTGTTCATTTTTGTGTTAGGATCTTTGGTTTCATACCGAGCCGCTTTGCTGAAGCTTCACTGGATCCTGCACCTTGGGCTTTTGTTTTGGGGCCGGTGGCGGAATCGGACGCCGTCCACAAGACCCGCAGCCGCCGACGCAAGGGCAGAAGGCCTACCGTCGGGAGCTACAAGCCAGCAATCCCAAAACCCTAAACCCCAAACCCCTAAACCCTAAACCCCTAAACCCCTAAACCCTAACCCCTAAACCCCTAAACCCTAACCCCTAAACCCCTAAACCCCTAAACCCCTAAACCCCTAAACCCCTAAGCCCTAAACCCCAAACCCTAAACCCTAAACCCTAACCCCTAACCCCTAAACCCTAAACCCCTAAACCCTACCTTGCATCCGCAAGAGCTGGTCCTGTCGAGCGACGTCCGCTTGCAGAAGATGCAGCGGATCGGCGAGAACGCTTGATGATATAAATCCTGCATGACCCATAATAAGGAATATACTATAATCCCATAGTTTAGGGTCCTTAAGGTAATGCAGGATTTATATCATCAACAGGAAGCTCACGGTGGTGCAGCGAAGCATTGAGGAGGGAGGACGAGACGCCACAGACGAAGAGAACAAGAAAAGAGGGAGAGCGAGAGAGATAGGAGAGAGAGAGAGAGAGGTGAAGAGGAGAGAGAAAGCAAAAAAGTTAAAGAGAGAAAGAGAGATATAGAGAGGGAGAGAGAGAGAGAGAGAGAGAGAAAACAAAACCAGACTGAGAAGCATGATGAATGCTGGGATTGCACATACTCTACTTTAGGTCATGAGACATTAGGATAATGATTCTCCAACTTTCTTCTTACTATAAGCCCCCACACCCTGAATCCGAAACCCGAAAACCTACGCCCGCGCGTGTGCCGAGGCTCCCAGAAGGATATGCGCCTGGGCCGAGCTTAGGTCATCTTTTGGGATGGGATGAGCTCGTGGTTGGGGCGGATCTGAATTTAGGGGTTTCGGGGTCTGAGTTTGGTAACTAGGCCGGTGTTTGGGGTTCAGGGCTTAGGGTTTAGGGTCTGGATTTTGGGTTTGTTTTGTGGGCCAACTTAAACATCATTTTTCCGAGATCGCCAAACCCCTAGACTTAGGCCCAAATTACCCTGAGCTCAGATGCACATTAATATGTTTCGGGAGCAGATCTAAGTAAGCTGTATACATACATATTTGTAGATACATATGTATATGTATAAAAATATATACATATATATATATACAAATATATATATATATATATAAATTCATGACTTGTGTGTGTGGTGGTGGGGGGGGGGGTAAGTTATAGCAGACTAGGCAAAAGTGGCGTTCATATTCCGTGGCGAGTGATCAACATGCGTCCTCAGGGTTCTAAGATATGTACGTTATTCGAAACCCTCGGCTGAATGGACATAACCTTAGTAGCATGGTATATATTGCAATGAACACACAGATATGTAGATATACACGTATATATACATGTGCATTGACGTTTTACATGTACATGTGCATTCACATACACAGACATATTTGCATCCACATGCTACGTAATTACATTGAAGTATGTAATACGGAATATATCGTGCATTCTAGGGGCCTTCATAATCACCTCTATTATACGTATAGCATAATGTACCCCAAAGCCCTATTCTAATTATTGAGGCCCTAAACCCTAACCCCCAAAACCCTGAACCCTAAACCCAAGTGTAGTATAATGTACCCCAAAGCCCTACTCTAATCATTAAGGCCCCCATAGTATCTTTCGATCCCTAAACCCTAAACCCTAATCATTAAGGCCCCCCATTTTTTTTAAAAAAAAGAAAGGCCCCCCATAGTATCTTTCGATGGTCAGGTGCCTCCCAGGAGGCCCTACGATCCGGTATACGACAGCCCAGCCGCTTGGCAGAGAGCAAAGGGTTTAGGATTTAGGATTTAGGGTTTAGGATTTAGGGTTTAGGGTTTAGGGTTTGGGGTTTAGGATCTAGGGGTTAGGATTTTAGGGCTTAGAGTTTGCCCGCAGCACAGGGAGGTTTGGAGCCTTCAAGGCCTTTTCAGGGTTTGGTGTTTAGGGTTTGGGGTTTATGGCACCGGGGTTGAAGCCTTAATTAATACCTCTTGGGCTTCAGGCTTAGGCTTAGAGCCTGCCTTAAAGCCATATGCAGATTTAAGCAATAGTGTACGACTGTTGGGGCTGTGGATGTGGAAGGTTAGATTGATGGCTCGGGTTCGAAGTTGTGACGGCAAGCGATCGTTGAGCCTTGCGTCAGCCGTTTCGGATGTACGTACGTTTTTATGAACTACAGACAGGGATGACTGCATACGTCCATGCATGCATGGTCTGGGTGCCAGGCCGCCAAAAGGATCGCTGACGAGTGGTGGGAGAACATCCGCAAGGAGTTGCTTTCCATGATCTAGCCTTTGGGGTGGCATGTTTTGGGCTTAAGGTGTGCTGGGATAAACCTCCCATATTCAAGGGTAGTAATGGGATCCATAATCCAGTCCTGACCACCGGTGGCGTGCTTACTGTGCAGATTGTCGTGCTCATCTTCAGTATGACTATCGGCATCATCCGCATCACCAGCAATGCAATGTCATCATCGTGTTCATCGTCATTGTCAGCGTCAGCAGCTGCATCAGTTGGATCGTTGGGTTAATCAGCTTTATGTTCAGCAAGTTCTTCGTGGTCCTCATCGTCTTGTTCATCACGGGCTTCAACGTTTGTCAAAATGACATGCCAAGGCCGGACAAACTGTTCCCGCAAGTCCTCCATCCCATGCCAGCTGAAGGTGGGGTTATCCACAACTACCCGGTACATGTGCCCTCCGGCACTCTCTTATCTCCAGACTCTGAAACTCTCTCAAAAAGACTTTGAACCAACATCACTAAACCCGAATTCTTGAAGCAAAATGACCAAAGCCCGAAGAAGCCAGCTCTTCAGCTTCGAGCTGCCGGCAAGGAGAAGCCCCCTGAGGATGCGATCGCTTTCTGGTTGCCCTGGGTTCTCCTGGCATTTGTAGCAGGCCTTCCATGAGGGAGGAGGGCGGGGGGTTGGGAGGTGGGGCTCAAGATAACGGGTCTAGGCATCTACAAGGGTCCTGCGGGGTTTGGCTTCGGGTTTAGGGCCGAAAGGTGAAGGCTGCCAGCTGTTGTTGGGGTTGAGGGTTAAAGGCTGTCAAGGGTGTTTTCGATCAGGTGTGCTTGTTGATTCTGCCATTTAGTCGCGGCTATCGTGGAGCACTTTGGCACTCGGCGTCTGATTGGAGGTCTTTTAGCATAGCGAGTAGGCCAGCAAGCTGGGTTGGGGGAAGTCTTTCAAGGATTGTAGGGCTTCTGGAACGTTCCGAAGTCGATGCACAAGAGCTTCTCAGATATGGAGTGAACAGGCTGCAACGGCATCAGGGTGTGGTTTAGAGGTTGTTGCTGCTTTGTTCCTTAAGGGTTTGGCGGCTAAAGCCTCCCAAACATGCTATTCCGAAGTTCAACACCCTAAGCCGCCAAACCCTCCTTCCAAGTTAGATAAGCCCGTCATCACTGTTATGCATCCAAACGCAACACCTGAATTCCTTCTCCGTAAGCACCATACGTAAAGCCTTCGAAGTCCTAAAGCCTGGGTTCATAGACCCTGGAACCAAATTGAACCAAAACGCTCCGAGAGAAACCCGACGACCTTCAAAGCTGCGCAGTCTTCGTGTTCCCTGCCATGACCGAATCCAACTACATCAAGGCGAGGCGAAAGACCAACCGCATGAAGGCCGGGGTCGTGTTGTAGGGGGCCGGGATCGAAATAATAGTAATTACTAATAAGTGAAGGAAAGTAATGACGAGTCAGACATTTTTATTTTGAATAGTAGTCGTAGTAGTTGTAGTAGTAGTAGTAGTAGTAGTAGTAGTAGTAGTAGTAGTAGTAGTAGTAGTCCATGGGGTTCGCCATTGACCCCCAAACCCGTGTATTCGAACCAATACATCATTGCCAGGCTTTCTCTGTCGGAAGTTCGGGATTTTGATGAGCGGTGGGGCCTTGCAGTTGGGGTTTGTCAAGTTCACAAGTTTAGGCGTTCAAGTATAAAGGCTGGCGCAATGCCTCGCTGAGGTTTGGATGAACTTTTTGATGCATCTGATGTGGCCCCTACATCAGACCAAAGCTCCAGAAAAGCCCTCAGGGAAAAGCCTGGAGGTTTCCATGGTTCGTCATTTGCAGCGCTTGACATCGAGCCCTTTTGAGCCTCAGACCCTGCAACCCCCTGAGAAAAATAGAAATGTTTGCATGTGCATATATACATACAAACATATGTACTTACATACCTACATACATACATACACACATGCATATTTACTTGCTTCAAGACTTCTACAACCTATGCAGATGAGTAGACTTCTCCAAAGTATCCACATACGCACATATATTATGTGTATACGGCCCGTTTTGGCCGTTTAGAGCCCCATAAGCCCACTGACCCCAAAAGACCGACATCTTCGCTTCGGAAAGGCCCGAGAGGCAGCGCGCACGCTGATCTCTCGGCTGAAGAACTTCGGGAAGGAAGAGGCTTACTGACCTCCTTGCAGGACGGCAGGACGGTTCACGGTGCAGGGCTTAGTTTGTACGGATATCTTTGCAGGACCGTGTGGAGTGCAGGGTTTCAAGGTTCAGGGCTTGCTCACCTCCTAGCCGCACAGTTTAGAGTGCTGCTGACGGAATATTGTTTTCCTTTAAATGCTTCTCTGGCTGACTCCTGTTTTTAGACTTTTGGTGGCGGTAGGCTGAGCGTTTGCGGGTTTTCGGATTTCGAACCCACGCGTCTTGTTTCAGGTCTCAAACCTCCGCAATATACAGATTATAAGTGTGGGGGGACCAAGTGGGTGGTTGTCAAAATTAGGGTCCCTTTGGGGGTCCTTAAAACAATACGGCGCCTACTATTTAGGGTACCCAAAAAAGGGACCCTAATTTTGACAACTACCCAAGTGGGTCCAGGTAGGCTTACGGTGTACGGGAGGGTCTGGCTCTAGCCTCGCGGCCTTGCTTAGATAACAATAATATCAGCTGCCGCCACCATTGTTCCTCTTTCCTTTGGTTAGTATGGAATGGAAGAATGGTGGTAATAGTAGTTATAATTGTACCCCATTCCTGCATTTCCTACTAACCAAAGGTAAGTCCTGCTACCACTGCTCCTGCCGCTGCTGCTACTGCTGCTGCTGTTGCTACTCCTTTGGACTCGTGCTCCTACTCTTACTCCTGCTCTCGTCTTGTTTGACTCGTTTTCCCACTCCGACTCCTACTCCTACTCCTACAAGTCCAGGAGGGTCACGAAAACTGCCCTCCATGCTGATGCGGGCTGCAGCTGTTTTGGCTTCCCCATAGTCCCCACCGGAGCACCAAGCGTCGCCGAGTTTTTCATATGGATACTGGATCGTGTCTATAGAGCCCCAGGCGTACAGACCAATGTGTCTGAAACTATTACTACCACGGCGACTATATTACCACGACTCCCACTACCGTACCGCTACTGCTACTGCTACTGCTGCTACTGCCTTTGCATCTGCCACTGCCGCTGCTACTGCTAGTGCTACTGCTTTCTGTTGCTGCTACTACTACGACTACTACTGCGACGACGACTACTACTACTGCTACGACTACTACGACTACGACGACTACTACTTTTACCACTACTGCTACTACTACTACTACTACTACTACTACTGCTGCTGCTACTACTACTACTAATACTACTTTTACCACCACTACTACTACTACTACTACTACTACTACTACTACTACTACCACTACCACTACCACTACTACTACTACTACTACTACTACTCCTCCTCCTCCTCCTCCTCCTCCTCCTACTACTACTACTACTACTACTACTACCCACCTACCTCGACTTCTACACGTACTTCTTAAGAACAGCAAGAAGCACAAAAAGCGACACCCAACCCTGATGCCGCCATGACGAATAGTGAGAAAAGCAGCTGCACACTCAGTAAAGGCAGTAGCAGCACCTGCAGACTTTGCACTTGTACCAGTAGTGAAAGATACGTGATCACGAAACAACAAATCGGGTGTGGAATGTCGTAGCGGGCACAGCCTGCCCACACACACTTGTTGCCAGGAGAGGTGACGCGTTGAGAGCCCTCCAGTGTGGAGAAGCGTAGACGAAAACTGCTCCGACTTGAAATCTCGTCGAAGCTCTCAGAAATGCAGTCCTTTGCGAAATCATTGCAATGTTGCAAACATCAGAAGGCGTAGCAGCATTGTAATTTAAACGTGCATGTATGTAGAGAGTGCAATGTGCAAGCGTATTGCATGAGATGGCAGTTGTATTCGTAGTAGCCCGCAACAGCATTGCTATTATGATGAGCAGAAGTGGCACTAGTAGTATAGTAGTAGCAGTAGTAGTAGTAGTAGTACTAGTACTAGTACTAGTACTAGTACTAGTACTAGTACTAGTACTAGTAGTAGTGGTAGTAGTAGTAGTAGTAGCAGTAGCAGTAGCAGTAGCAGTAGCAGTAGTAGTAGTAGTAGTAGTAGGAGTAGCAGTCGTTGTCGTATGAGGAGCAGCGACAGAACCGATTCACCTGACGTCACTTTTGGGATGACTCACAGTAAGAGTGGCACCAACAGGTATTAGACTGATGAGCACAGCAAATGCACATGACTTAAAAGCATCAGCAACTGCTATTGATGCACAGTCTGCAAGCACATTTGAAGGCTGCTTTTCTGGCAGCGCCGCTGTGTCTCCAGAGATCCAGGCGAGACTGACTGTCTCCAGCCAGATGCACGGCTTCCCAATACACTTGACTGAGTGCGGGAAGACTTGGGTGTCCATCATTTCTAGATGCGGCTGCATACCAGGTTTAAACAAGACCTAAACCATGCGATGGAAGTCCAAAAAGCCGAGCTTTACCTGCTTCTATCGGGTTCGATCAGGGAGTCAATTACAAGGTTTCGGGCTGTAGGGCAGGAGAGTTCAGCGGGAATTCCCCGAAGTGTGGTGAGCAACCACACTGTAACGCCAAAAATTTCGGAGGTGCTTGGAGGATCATGGGACTCATGGGACTTAGTAAGTGAGGTTACAAGTAGCTAGTTCGTTACGAGTTACAAGTAGTACAAGTATAGTTGCCTTACTTATTCACCCGAGATTCAAAGTCCCATGACCCTTTAAGTGCCCCTCCAAAACTGACTAAGGGAACAGCAGAGAAGATATCACACTTCCGCTTTTTGGAAAATCGTTCTAAGTTGCTTTTCCCTCTCTCAGTTTCTGAGACCAACGAGACCCCCGAACCGCACTTAGTCTAAAATGACGGCAAGACCCGAAGAACCCGTCAGTTTTCGAGGCTTTAGCTCAGGGCTGTGAGTTTCAGTGTTTAGGGGGACTAAACCCAGAGACTCCAATATCCCTTAATTAAGGAATATACCTTAAATCAAATTAGGGATCCTACTATAATTTAAGGTATATATTCCTTAATTAAGGGATATTGGAGTCTCTGGGAATTCGGTGTTGGTCGAATGCAACATATGCGAATCCCCGCCGAAGGCTCTCTGAAAGTTTACCGACGAATCGCCGGCAAAGACGTCCAAAAGCATCGCAAGAAAGAGCCCGCACCGCAAGAGACCACCGCTGATCACGAATGAGGCCAAGATATGGGAGCAGTGTATCCTCGATGGGTTAAAGACCCTAAACCCTCAACGCCCCACCCCTGAACCCTACACCCGCCGTTGGGGGAGCTCTTATCCCCTTCGAAAGCCCAGCTGCCATCGACATTTCGCCGCAGCTTCTCCAAAGCGGGGGCTCACATGGGCTTACTATGCAATGCAAAGCGGGGCCTGAGGATCTAGGGCTAGCCAGATCACGGTGTAAGGTTTAGGTCTAGTGTTTAGGGTCTAGGGTGCGGAGAAGACTTGAGTTGTAAAACCGAAGAAAGTGTTCCTACATTTTCAAGCCGCGCTGTCTTCTCACGACTTGACAGAGGGTGTGTGTTCCTAGACCATGGCGGTCACGTGTCAGATACATGTGCG